AAAAAAAAAAAAAAAAAAAAAATGAGTTGATTTAAAGAAAAGAATTATATAATAGAGGTAGAACATAATACAGCAAAATTATGGAGGTGGTACCAACATGATAGTGATTTGGCCTAACTGCCTAGGCCCAGATACTGCCCTTTGGCCCCATGTGCCAGCTCAAGCCAACCCTCACCACCCTCCAGCACTGTGCCCAGCTCCTACCTAGGCCAGCAAGCATGGGAGCAGGGCTTGGGCAACCTCACCAATGCTCAGATGAAGAATGTGGCTGTAACTCACCAAAGTTACTATATGAGAGTGAAAAGGAATTCCTAGGTAATAGACTCATTTTAAGTATTGAAATAATCTGGACTTGCCTCTATTTAAATAACAGGATACTCAGAGGTTTCTGTTTTAAGCCTGTTCTCCAAGAAGTAAAGAAGGGAAAAAGAGCATTTTAATCTTTGTTGCTGGATAATCTGTTTACTAAAAATGGGTAACCAGACTCTAAACAGTTCAGTGATTATGAAACCAAAGAATGGTCCACTTTATTTTTTTTTAAGGAAGGAAGGAAGGAAAGAAGGAGGGAGGGAGGGACCTTATTTTTTACAATACAGTTACCATTGAAATGATTAAGAGTAACTTGAAACAAAATGTGTTTCACTGGGAAAGTACAAGAAGAAGCTGAATGTGGTGTCTCTTGCCTATAATCCCAGCACTTTGAGAGGCTGAGGTGGACAGATTGCTTGAGCCCAGGAGTTCAAGACCAGCCTAAGCAATATGATAAAACCACATCTTCTCACACACACACACACACACACACACACTCACACACAAAATACGAAAAATTAGTGGTATGGTGGTGCACTACTATAGTCCCAAATACTGCAGGAAGGGAAATGTGTGCAACTGCAGTCCCAGTTATTGGTGGGGTAGAGATTGGGGTTATGGAGGCAGCTGAGGTGGGAGGATCACTTGAGCCTGAGAAGGTCAAGGCTGCAGTGAGCTGAGATTGTGCCACTGCACTCAGCCTGGGCAACAGAGTGACCAGAGTGAGACCCCTATTCCAAAAGAAAAAGAAAAAAAGAAGCAACAACAGCTAATTTCCTACTTCCAGAATAAGAAAATTGAAGAGAGAACCATTTTAGATGGAGTTGGGGAAAGCTGTGAATTTCCACTGGGAAAACCCCATCTCCTTGGCCATAGCTGTGGATTTGTATTCATGGTGCTCCCTGCTCCCATCCTGCACTAGGTCGAGCCTTAGATTGCTGGGCATTGCGTGCAACATTTCCCAGAGAGCCACGCAGGACCCTTTGATTTATTCAGTGCTTATTCTTGAAGGTTATTGTGAATCATTAACCAGAATGCAATAGAGCAGAAGGTCACAAGTCATAGAGGCTCCGTGGCTTACACATAGCCTGTTTTAGCAAACTTAATTTTTAAGGTTTTAATGTAGGTATAATTGAGAAGATAAATTGAACACATATGCATGTCCTAATAAAGGTATTCTTTCGAGTCAGCAAATATTCACATCCTATTAAACATCAATGAATGTTATATAGTATAATAAAGTGGAAAGGTCTTAGAAGATTATTTGTAGGCTATTAGTTATTAGTGTAATTTTAAAACGTAATCAGTAACAATTAGCAAAATTGATAATACTGGATGTACAGCGGTTTCCACTCACTAGTACAAGTAATACTAGCAATAATTCTATAAAGTAATATCAGTTGAAAATTAAACCTCTTCCAACTTCTTTGTCTATCCTTCTGGGAGTTCTTGTTTATCAGATCACTGGGGCATCACTTTAAAACTATTTCCTGATATTCATAAAAAGTATTGACATCATATACCAAATTTAGAAGTCTATTTATAGAGTAGAATAAAGTTATAAGATTACTTCAATATGCTTTGTGCAAGCAGATGCACTGGTCAAAAAGCCAAACACACACACACACACACACACACACACACACACATAGACTCACATATATATACATGTACATATATATGATCTATATCTTTAACTTTTTAATTTTAATTTTTGTGGGTACATAGTAGGTGAATAGCCCAATATATTTAGAAGCTGGAATCACTAGGACTTGGTATCCAGTATCAGGTCCCCTATAAGCAGAGCTAGAGATAGGGATTTGGATGCTGATACTTTGTTGAGTGATAAACCGGTAAGAAAGTGAGAAAAGCAGGATAGAGAGGAAGGAAATGCCACATAGGACATGGAATCAGATAGTCTATTCTTGGCCTGATGAAAGCAGAGGAATAAATTTCACCATAGAGGACAGCTGTGCATCCTTCACAGCTAAACACTCACAGCAGCTGGGGGTAGGGTGGGTCATATACAGCTGCCAGGAACCTGAATCTGCTTGGAGCACTAACAGCATTAGCCACATTTTGTGATGGGGCAGGGGGTGGAGGGAGACAAAGATGGCTCCCAAATTTGTGATATGAACAACTGAATAGCTTCTTGTATATAACAGCAATGCTCCCCTCCTAATACCAAAAAGCTAAGATTTTAGAAGAAATATTAAAAGAGTCTTCATTTTACAAAAAAAAAATAAAATTCCTTTTATCTTTTACTTTTCTAGGTTAAAAATAACAACTCTTTGACATAATTGCATGGGATCAATTTTCCATTAAAAACACATACTGTTTTTTTGTTAAATATTGCTCTTTTAGATCTTTTCCATTTAGTCTGCTTCCTGTTGAAAATAGATACAAACTGGTTCTAGTACTCTAATGATCGAAGATTCACCTACAATTCCAATATTAGGTTAGCTTTTTATTTTAAAAGCACGTATGCATTGTTCTTGTGCATTCATCCTTTAGTCCAGGGGTCAGCACACTGTGGCCAAGGGGCCAAATCCAGCCTGTCATCCATTCTCCTATGGCCTGGGAGCTACAAGGTTTTATATTTTTTAAAGGTTGCTTTAACAAAATGATAAAGAATATGCAACAGAGACCATATGACTCACAAAGCCAAAAATATTTACTATATAATCTTTCACAGAAAAAGTTTGCCAACCTGTCCTTCAGTCTGTCATGACCCCATAGTGTGCTGATGCAGTCTATATTGAGAAAGAAAATCTGATAATCAAAAACTTCAAATTAGTGGATGATTTATGGAACTATAAAATTATTATTTTATAAGGGATTCATCACAGAACTTTTAGAAATTAATTCCAGCTCTTCTGAGCAATTATTTCTTAATGCAATTCCTTAACAAATTTTAAAATCATTCATTTAAGTAAAATAAATATGCATAAGTTTTCCTCTGTTTTGTAAAAATATTACCAGCTGATATGGTTTAAATCTGTGTCCCCACCCAAATCTCATGTTGAATTGTAATCCCCAATGTTGGAGGTAAGACCTAGTGGGAGGTGATTGAATCCTAGGGGTGGATACTTCATGAATGGTTTAGCACCATCCCCTGGGGCTGTTCTCGTGATGGTGAGTTGTCACAAGATCTGGCTATTCAAAAGTATGTAGCACCCTCCCCCACTCTCCCTCCTCCATAACCCCAGGCACAGGTCTATCTCCTCTTTTTGCTTTGGCCATGTAAAATGTGCCTGCTTCCCCTCCGCCTTCTGTCATGATTGTAAGTTTCCTGAGGCCTCCCCAGAAGCGGGGTACAAGCTGCTATGCTACTGTACAGCCTACAGAACTGTGAGCCAATTAAACCTCTTTTCTTTATAGCAGTGCAAGAATGAACTAATACACCACCAATCTTGTGATTACTGCAAAGAAACTAAAAAATACACATAGATACAAAGGTAAGAAATCATTCGCAATCTTACCATCCATAGTTAACTTCTGTTAACATTCCACTAAGTTTTTTTTTCTAAGAATATAAACATTTAATTTTGTAAAATGTGATCATGTTGTATATATAATATTATACCCTCTTTTATTCACTGTATTAGTCTGTTCTTGTATTGCTATAAATAAATACCTGAGACTGGGTGTCTTAAAAGAGTTTTAATTGGCTCACAGTTCTGCAGGCTGTACAGGAAGGATGGCAGCATCTGCTTCTGGGGAGGCTTCAGGGATTTTTTATTTATGACAGAAGGCAAAGTGGGAGTGAGGTCTCTCGAATGGTGAAAGCAGGAACAAGAGAGACCAGGGGGAGATGTGCTGCACACCTTTAAACAACCAGCTGTCTTGAGAATCGCTATTATGAGAACAGCACCAAGGGAATGTTGCTAACCCTTTCCTAAGAAATCCACCCCATGATCCAACCACCTCCCAGCAGGCTCCACCTCCAACGCTGGGGACTACAATTCAACATGATTTGCTAGGGACACAGATCCAAACCGTATCATTTCACTTCATGTTATAATTTTCAAAAGCATCTTATTTGACTGCATTTATTCCCCAGAATTAATGTGTCACAATGTATGTAAACATCTTTTTTTTTTTTTTGACATTTGAGGTTGAAGCTAATTTTTCACTACTGTAAATGCCACAGTGAGCCTCTTCATGCATAAATCTATCTAGATCCTCATTTCTGTGTCCCTAAGCTAGATTATTAGAAAAGTAACTATTGGCCCTTCCCTGCTTCTGCCCCCGTCTTCCTTACAAACTCATGCTTCTTCTCCTAGTTCTATATGGGCTAGAGTCCATTAGGACTAGGAACTTGGTCTTCTCTTCTCACTGCATATTTGTCTCAAAACCATGTCACCCAAGGCGAAGCTTTCAAATACCATCCACATGCTATGATTCCCATCTTTGTATCTTCAGCCCCAGATCTCTCTGCTAAGCTCCAAATTTACATAACTAAATATCTACTTGTAATCTCAACTTGTATGTC